TTGGCCCACACACACGGACCCCACGAAATCTTGGAGAGAGACAGGAAAACCCATGTTTTTGGACCCTGGGGGCATGACTTGGGGGGGTCCATTTTGGATGCCCCACCAGAAGGAATTTTGGCACCCACACCTGCCATCAGTTTGGAAATGCTACTGCTACAAAACCTCACACTTTGCTCACTTCTGACACGGTGCACAATCAGTTGCACCTGCCACACAAAACAACATCTGAACATCCAAAACTGGTCTGAACATGTAGTAGTTAGTAATGATAATGAATATTGAATAACGTTTCTAACAGTCTAACAGACTAACTAACTAACAGTTTGACCTCCACATGTGCTTTGCACCGCAACAGCCTGCACTTTTTCGACATCAAGGTGTTTTTTGCCTTTTCGCTTGCACATGTGCTTCACACCACAATGGCGTGGAACTTTTCATCCCTCATCTGACCACGTGGCACCCTCCGGAGCCACAAATCATTGGAAAAACACGTGCTTTGCAACTATAACTAACTGACTATCCTAACTATCCTACCTTTTTGAGCACCTGGATCTTCTTTCTTCTGAAACTCTGACTCTTCCCATCTCTGCTTTTCATCTGTCCATATTGTCAGAAGTTTGACTTCTAAAAGCTGCTACTGAGCTACTGCGCTAGATATTCTAGATTCTAGATTCTAAACTTCTAAATTCTAACTAAACTAAACTTCCTCAGATCAAAGACTTCTGACTATGACTACTATTTACTATTTAATTACTATTGAACTCTTAATATAATATAACTTTAACTGTTAAATCTATTCTATTCTATTCTATTATTATTGTTAGTCTGTTAGTAACTGTTAGTTAGTATAGTATTAACTAAAGTAACTAAAAACTATTACTATATTAGACTATCTGACTATCGCAGCATTATCAGTGTCTGTCGGGTCACTATCACAACCTGCTGTGGCTGAAACAAGCTTAGGGGCGATTGCCAAATTGATTGCTGGCACCAAGAAATCCAATCTTGCCGGAACAGTTGCAAAGCCAGGCCAGGCAAAAAAAACGTGATCCCATAATTCTCCAGGGCAAAGTCAGCTTGGATTTGAGGGCTGCAACAGAGAGAGTGAATCAAGCTGACAAGTGGATTGGAGCTCCCTTTCTGCTCTGGCTGAAGCCTCCCTCTCATCTCGCTCCTGATTGATAAGCTTGGCATTTTCCATCTGTTCACGCCCCTGTCTCTGCAACTTCATATCTTTCAATTTGTTTTCCAATTTGCAGACCTGGGTGCTTGGAAGCGCAACTGCCATGGTCTGGCCTGGGTCACTCGGGCCACCTGGCTTCCTGAAGGATGGGTAAGCTTTGTGCCCATGCTTATTTGCCAGTGTTCCCAACAAACCCAGGTTGGCATAAAAATCCCACTCAGAACCACCCGCTTCCTTGATGGCGTTGTAGTTTTTTGATGCTTCCTGCACCAAGTCATCAGTCAAGAATTGTCCCTGGCAGTTGTAGTGACAAAAAGCTCGCCATGCTCCGCCTGCATGACGTCTGTGATTTTTTTCTTGCCTGGAGATGGTCCAGGAGTGCTCCGCTTGGGTTTTGGAGGACCTTCCTTGAGGATGACATGCTGCCGGCAAAAAAAGTCTGCTGACAGATCAGCAAAGGCCATTCCCCAGCAGTTCACGCTCTTCACTGTCAAAACACGCCTTATTGCAGCATGTCTGACTTCTATGCCTGCAATGTCGTGTTGTGAAATGCTTGCACACGCAGCCAGCAAACACTGAGGCTCTTCCCGAAAGAGACCGTCGACACCAAAGGCCTTGACAAACCAGTCTGTCAAAGAATCCCAGAGACAAGAGGGGCAGCGTTTCAAATCTTCTGTAAGACCCCACAAAGCACCAAACAAAATGAATGGGGCATGCCGATGCTTGATGGCATATATTTGCTCCACAGCGCACATGCTTCGACTCAACATCCTGAAGAATAGAGTTCGCATATGGCAAACCTGTGCTGAATCAGGCCAAATCTCCAAGGGGTTGTGAAAGAGATTGTTCATGCTCTGCTTGAAAGCGTTCATTCCGGTGCCAACATACAGCTCTAGAATCCTGAAGCTTGGCAACTCCCCTTGCATCACTTTGGCCTTTTGGATCTTCTCAAAGGCTTCTGAACCCAACCAGATGGCATCTGTCATGAGGCGAAAAACAGGCTGGAAAGCTTTCGTGATGAGGATGACAATGTCACGTGGGTTACATTCACACCAGGCTTGCGCTTTTCCCAGAGTAGCTTTCCGGAATTCTGCCCAGTCTATGTCTCCGGTCACTGGATCGTAAATATTGCCCAACGTCTCCAAAAAGGTCGTATCCTCATTGTCATCCTCTTGCATGCCTTCCGGTTCATCACTGGTTGGCAAGCTGGGTTTCTGGGAAGCTTGTCTGCCATTGATGACACTACCCCAGCTTGACCAATTGGGGCCAAGGTCTGGCCCATCTGCAATGGATGCAGAAGTCGCAGTCACGTCTGGGGAACGTTTCTTCCAGGCGGCCATGATTCTTGGTAGCAAGTTGTGATGGCAAAGAAGTATTCCAAAAAAAGACAGCGCTTGTTCTGAGCCCAGCCATTTGTTTCGGTTGATAAGAGGCACACCGGAAGGCAACAATTCTGGAATCAGATACTTCTTGATGTCAAGCAATATGTCCTCCCGATTTCTGAATGTAGGTGAGTAGTGCAGAATCCTTTCTTGGGTTATGTCTCCATTCAGGAATGTACTGAGGATCAGCCGTCGCTTTTCATTTGCAAAAACAGACTGTTTCTTGCACCCGGCAGCCCCTTCATGAACACCATGCACACGCGTGGTGAAGTGATCACTTCCGACCGGGAGAAAAAGATCGTACATAGCAAGCCTGTGGCTCTTGCAGACCTCAACCCCGACTCGCACTTCCAGGTGTTCTGCAAATATGTCAAAAAGGACCTGTCGCAGTTCCCTTGTCACTCCAGCATGCTGTAGAGACAGCCCCAAGCTCAACATCCCAGAGATGTGGCCACTGACCAAAGCAGCCATTGCTTTCTCACAAGTTGATACTTCGTGCACACCACAAGCACTATGGCTGAGGCCCCAGCCCTCGTGCTCAGATTGCACATGCTTCTCAGCTACAAAGTTGTAGGGCGCTTTGTCTGTACAAGTGAAGAACTGTTTCAGTCTGAACTTGGCTGCTAAGTCACGCAAATTCGGGACCAACGATAGCACAGACATCTGCGACCTAGACACTTGCTCAGCCTTGGTTGTCTCCAAGGATTGGAGTGGGCAAGGTACCTGCAGGGTGCTGCCAAAAAAACAGATAACTTAGTGACTTAGTGATTTAGTGAAGTGACTTTGTGTTGGCTACATTAAGTCATTAAGTTTGAAATTTGACAAGAAATACAATTATTTATTATTTATTGTTTTGAAAATTAATCTGATATGATAGGTTGATATCAACTCAACTCATTTGTTTTCCTTGTGGGCAAAGTTTACAATCGTCATATTTCTGGGTGGGTTCCCACACACTAGCGGGGAATCAGAAAGTGACTAACTGAACTACGTCGACTACGTCTACGTGACTACGTGACTACAACATCGTGTCATGTCTTGCCAGTCATAACGGTCATAACAGGTACTGAAGGCATGTTATGTCATATATGCACCACATATGATATGCCTGCCGAGCACATCTGCTGTCAGAACTGCAGTGTGTTTGTCATCTGGTTTGATCTGAGCCAAGTTGGTGGCAGTTGGCATGGCATACCAAAATTTAAGATCAACCATTTTCATTTTTGCACTCAACCCCAGCCTTGCCACCCAGCTGGAGACATCGACCAGTTGACACGTGCTTCAGGACAGCAAATATTGCCAATTCAGATTGCATGATTTTGGTCACCATCTTCTTCCTGGAGCTCTTGGTGCATGGTTGTTGGGACTGCTGGGACTCCTGAGAATCAACTGCAACAATATTGTCTGGGACATCTTGCTGCTCAGAAATTCTGACCGTCAACGGAGTTTCGTCATACCGACGGGACACTGCCAGCATCAAGCCTTGCCATCCAGACTGCAAAAGCTCATCCACCCGATCAAGAAATGTTGTCCACATGAACCTAGATCCTTCCAGCAAAACAGAAGCTGTCAGCACCAAGTCCTTGTTTGAAAAATCAGCCACTCTTTCAGACATGATTCTCCGGCGGCAAGATGCCAAAATGTGTTTTGCAGGGTTATCATCATCATCAGAAGCATGCAACTGGCTCTGGCTCTGAGCATGCATGGCAATCAGCAGCTGAAGGTTTGACAAGAAGCCACTTGAAGTTGCTACGACAACACTGCTTTCCGCGCAAAGTGCATCTTCTGCCTCTTCAACATGCACAGCCTTTGGCCGTCCAGGCTGGGGCACAGAAACTATGGCAGCTTCAGCAGCTTCTTTGGCCTGAGAAGGCCACCTCCAAGCGACCCTGGTGGCCTGCCCCTGCCACGCATTCTCACAAATCGACCAGACCAGTCTGCAAAAAGGCTCCCAGATGGGAGCACGGCCCCAGTGCTGCAAAACGTGGGAGACCATTGCTTCTCAAAAACAAATCAATCAAATGAGAACTGGTTGAACGCCCTGGTCATGAGGCTACACTGTGACGACCAAATTAGGATTAGTGATTTGATTACAGTAGTGACTAGTGTGATGATTAGTGATAATGAAGTTACTTGCCAAATCAAAATTCTAGATTCTAGATTCTAGATCCTAGATCTAGTCGAATCTAGTCACTAGTCACTGGTTAGTTAGTTGCACTGTGGCTTGACTGCTCCTGGTGACTCTTGTGACCACCTAGACCTACACCACACACACGCACAGTGGGAATACAGCTGCGGGATTTTTGTACTTGAGTCACTTGCGGCATTGCCATGGCAGATCTAGAAAAGAAACCATGCTCAGAATATGTCACAGCTTGCAGAAATACCATCTATCTATCTGAATCAATTGCAACTGCATGGCCCAACCCTGCCTCTCTCGGTTGATCTTCAGCCAAATTTTTGCAGAGAGGCGAAGGGTCGCAATCCAGTACCCACCATACGTCCACTGGCAGTCTGCCAAGCCTTCCAAGAACCTGACGTGAAAGCTCGATTTGTTGGTAGGATCAAAGCTCATGAAAATGTTGATAAAATTGTTTCAAGGGCTCCCATTGTCAAAAATTTCATTTGCATGGCTCCAGAACTAAAGTTTCTTTTAGGGTCGAAGTTTCAATACTCTTACTTCTCAACTTCTCACATGGTTCAATAACTTGTGGTGGCCTGGGCCTGGTCCTAGTCAAGTCAGTCATGAGTCATGAGCATCTGCAAAGAATAAGTCACAATCAAACTGGTGTCACCTTTTTCCAACATAGTGGGTTTTTCTGTAAAAAACAAAACCTTTTGCAGAGACCCCTGCAATAGATTTGTTTCTTCCTGCCCGATATAAACCCTTGTAGCCCTTGTAGTTCCAAAAGACATCTTGTTACCTGTTGTTACTTACTTACTTGCTATGTTCCATACATTGGCTTTGGTCAGCACTTCCAGCTGGCCTCTGCTTTGGCGACTCCTGTTCTGTCATGCTGAAAGGCAGGTCGAAGCCATCTACCTGTTCCATCACGGCCGTCCGCGGCTCCAGTTTTGTGAGCATGGAGTACGCATCTTCAAACGTTGTCTGATAACTCACGTGCTCCTTCACTGACCCACATAGGAATCGCTTTGGGCGAGTGCGGGAATAGGGATTGGAAGGCGTTCCCATGCACAAGAAGTCTGGCTCTCTTGGCATCTCACATTTCTCATTGGGGTGCAGGAGGCACCCACTGCCTTCTGCCTGCTCAGAGATGCTCTCGTGCAAGTGCTTCGGGGTGAAATTTTTCTGAAGGAATCGTTGGAATGGCTTGCACTTCTCGGACATCCCAAGGCAGGTGTAGGGAATGTCCAACTCCTCACAGGGATGCAAGGCGCTCTCAAGGAATCATTGTGACTGTGCACAACAATGCTTGAATCGCGTGGCTCTACTTAGACTTAGACTTACTTAGGGTCTTAGTCTCAGTCTTAGATTCAAAAGGAAAATGCAGAAGCTAGACTGTAGAATATGTTTTCTAATCAAATCATAATCATGTGTTGGTTCTGGCTTCTGTAAACTGTCTAGCTGCTGCCAGAAAAAGTCAGCACATCTAGCCAGGTCAACTGCTTGCTAATCAATCACTGTCATGACTGTCAAAAATCATTATCATTATCATTAATGAATGATAGATTCCATATATGTCATAAAGTTAAAATATAATATAATATAACATAATATAAAATAATATAATAAAATAGTTAATAGTTAATAGTAGTAGTAGTATTCCATAGTGACTCCTAGTCCTAGTGCCTTTGCATAGGCCATATGTAGCCATAGGCATAGGCCATTGCCATAGGCCATAGGTGCAGCTATTATGTGACAATTCAAGAGTGCACTGTGCTTAGGTCAGCCTGGGGGCAGTGTTAAATTTGAAACCAAATGCATGAATGCAGACAAACAAAACGCTTTTGAACATTATAGAGTCTAGAGTCTAGAGTCTAGAGTTAGAGTCAGAATCTACGGACTCTGTAGTATCTAATCTAATCAAATCTATAGTCTATAGTGACTATAGTGTAGTGTCAATAGTAACTATAGCATAGTCTACTATAGTCTATAGTCTATAGATTCTAGATAGATATCTGTCAGATAGAATCAGATAGAATACAGACTGACTAGAAAGGGAATTGAACTGTTGTTTTTAATCATTCAAATTTTGATATGAACTCTGGAAATGATCGTTCTTGAACAAATTGAGCACCCTGACCCTGAACAGCAGAAATTGACAGTTTCTTCTATTCTAATTAATTCTACTTCTACTTCACCACTCTCCTGTGAATGCTTCAGCCATGACACACACACACACAAACCCTGAGCCCCGAACCTCAAAGACAAATCCCTCTGCAAAGCTTCCAGTGCAAGCAGAAACGCACGTCACAGGATTCTGCAAAGTAGGCGTCATCAAGCCTAAAGTGGCTGTGTGCATCATCAGCTTCTGGGCCCACCAAACCTTGGGAGCCACTGCAGGATCCCCGGCCCCAGTTTCTCTCACGGATCCACCATCTGAACCAGACAAGGAGTCTGCCAGCTCCCATGGACTTGAACCACCCGAAACCGGCGAAGAAGGCAGGTCCATGACTTTGAGAACGTGGCCAAACGAAAAGCACCTGTAACAGTAACATACACCAGGTCTGCTGGGAACATGACTGTGATGTCCACTCCATTTCACATGTCTTATGTCCTGCGTCTTCTGTCTTATGCCTCTTGTCATATGTCATATTGCTGCTATCATATTAGAGATGTCTAGTGTCTATGTTTCTTGTCTTTTGCAACACTACTGTTGACTGGTGCTTCGGTCTGCCTCCTTGAGCAGCACAAGTCAAACAGGCGTGAACAATGAAGCAACAAACCATCGCACTGCAGGAACTCACATTTCAAGGCTCTTTGAAAAATTGCAGCTCAGACACAAGATTCACAAGATCATGTGTCTTCAAGTGTGATCCGGTCTTCTGTTTGAATAAGTTTGGAAGAAAACAAAAGGTTTCAGGCACCACCCAAACTCCAGTCCAGAAAATGTTGTCAAAATATCTCTGCTGTCAGACCTTGCTTTCATACTGGCCTCAATTCCCTCAAAATCTGTGAAAATCTGATAACTGATTTCTGACAAAGAATGGCGGTGCTGTGAGAAAGCGGATTTGATTTCACTCGACTTTAAGAGTGAGCCCTCAGTTGACTGTCTTCTAGACTGAGTAGTTGACCAGCAGAACCGGCTTCGAGGCTTGAATGTTTTTGTAGCAAACCAACAGTAAGACATTGGAATCTGACAAGCCGACACCTGCTTCACATCAATCTTTCTGAATCTATCAGTTGCCTCTGGCAAGACAATTTCTGAAGGAAAAAAAAGAACCTGCACTGCTCCAAGTTCCCGCTCCCAATTTCCATCTTTCTGGATGGCGGCACATGTGATCTGTGCTTTCGGTCGTTGGCACTTCTGACACATAGACCCCAGGCCCTAGGCAGTGCCTCCTTGATTATTTGACAATTGAAGACAAAACAACTTGCAGCTTGCACACAAGCAACGATGCTTCAAAGAAGTAGGCAGCCTAGTGACCAGTGAGAATTTTTCCAACGACACTTTTCCAATCCAAATGTGGGAGACTGTGACCATTGTACTATAGTACTATAGTTGTTGTTGCTAGTTGCTAGTTGCAAGCTACTAATACTTGTAGATTATACTATAATGTACCCTGTGGAATGTAGCAAATAAAATATATAAATATAGTAAAGTTCACTAGCAGCAGTTGTTATGTTCACAGTACTCATGTCCCAAGTTTTCTTAGCCTGCCTTAGCTGTCTTAGCTGGCATGTCGGTCACGCTGCCCAACAAAACATCATCCTTTCAAATTTTGACTTAACAGGGCGAATTGCTACGCTCATGTCTGCGCTCACGTTTGTCACATGCACAATCTGCACTCACTGCTCGAAGAGCATGCTGGTCGGCTTCCACTAAGAAGGGTTCTATGTAAGAGCAGTAGCATGAAATACATGCTCCATCTTCAAGATGAGCTTCCAACCATTTGGTCAAAATGTGCTTCAGCGTGGTTTGGGTTGCCGATGGCCTTCCACTAGAAACGCTCGCGTCCATGGCTATCACACGGAGTGCGGAAAACTCGTGCAACCTTGATATTCATAAAAACTGCAAAACCATATCTCAAGTGGCTGACACAAGTATCTATATTACAATTGGAGCAGTGTGTCTGTTAGTCAGTCAGACATTCTGTGCAAAACTTTGGTTTGTGCACATGCTGCAACCAGCCAGTATAGAGATCCAAAAAATGATATTCTGATATTTTTTGTTCTGTTAGGAAGAGGTCAGTTTCTGGGGTTTCTGACGAGTTGCAGCACAGAACAGTTTGTTGATAGAAAAAAACATGAAATAAAGTAAGTTATAGTATAGTAGACCTGTCCTGGGCCCTACCAGGCCCTACCTATAGTAGCTAGCCTAGCCTGCATCTAGTCTAGGGCCTAGTCTAGGGCCTAGGGCCAGAATCTGGCCAGGAGGAACATGTTGCTGAACTGGAAACAGACATGGTTGCACGAAGACCTGCGCTTCAGTGATGGTTGCTCTGCTATGCTGCTGTCCTAGCTGTTTGTTACTGCTACGTAGACTGAGTAGACTTGGCAGCTACCTGCTGGATCTACAGTAGATGTTGATGACCTGCCAAAGAAGTTTTGGTATTAGTATAGTAAATATTTATATATATAGTATGTATATAAGTCGGTATGACTGCTAAGGCAGCTAGCAGCTAGCAGCTAGCTGCTAGCGCTATATTCATGTATATTCTGCACATGCACCGCAAATAATACAACCCATATAATATAATAATATAAGATTTTTTTAAAAAAATATATATATATATATATAGTATCAGTATAGTAACAGTTAGTATCTGGTTATCAGTAGCCAACATTTCCGCAAAGACAAGCAATTGTGCATGTCATGTTCACCTCGTGAAAAACAGACGGTGTGCAAAAACAACCTGCTCTAACCCTAGGGCCCTAGGCCCTATGACCCTATGACGAGTCAAAACATCAGGTGGAAATATTCACTCGATAGGTTGTTGACATGACACAAAAAGTGGTTGGTGCGAGCCCTGAACCCTGGTTAATTAATGGCGGCTAGCTGGCTGCTAGTTTTAGAAAACGTAGTAACCTGACCGACCTACCTCAAACATCGCCTGCTGACAGAAACAAACTGTGACACAACAATTCTGAATGTGTGAAGTGGAATGCGCTGAGAATGAAACTGTGCAAAGTGCACAATGTACAATGTACAAGAAACAAAGCACAACAGTTCTTATTTGACACATGAACTAACAAATCTACTCATCTACTCTAAGTCTGAGTAGGAAACCTATAAGGACATATACATTATCATTATACATATACACCTACCAAAAAATAAATACCCAGGGAAACTGTTTGTATCTCCCGGGCTCTACTGCCGGGTGACTCTTCTTTGCAAGCCTCTACTCTAGCAACAAGCTGACCACATCTGCATATGTCATATGTGTAACATTGTAACAATGATCAGATGAGCAAAACCGATACAGATACTGTACACTTAACAGAACATGTTCGCCACTCCCAAGGTTTCAAACATGTTGTTTTTTCAAAGCGCATAACAAAAACACAACAAAAAACAAAAACACGTGTGGATCCAAAGCCCGCACAAGATCAGGAGTTTAGGACCTATAAATTGACACGAAAACAGAAGATATGAATGAATGAAAGAAATGAATGAATGAATGAATGAAAGAAAGAAATGAATGAATGAGTGAATGAATGAATGAATGAACGAACAAACGAACCAACTAATTTAGTAACTAATGAATGAATGAAGTGAGTGAATGAACGAAAAAAAGAATGAATGGATGAATGAATGAATGAATGGATGCATGAAATGGATGCATGAAATGAATGCATGAAATGAATGAATGAATGAATGAATGAATGAATGAATGAATGAATGAATGAATGAATGAATGAATGAATGAAATGAATCAATGAGTCAATGAATGAATGAATGAAATGAATGAAATGAATGAAATGAATGAATGAATGAGTGAATGAATGAATGAAATGAATGAAATGAATGAATTTCATGAATGAATGAATGAATGAATGAACGAATGAATGAATGAATGAATGAATGGAATGAATGAATGGAATGAATGAATGAATCAATGAATGAATGAATGAATGAAAGAAAGGAATGAATGAATGAATGAATGAATGAATGAAATGAATGAATGAAATGAATGAATGAAATGAATAAATTAATGAATGAATGAAATGAATGAATGAATGAACGAACGAACGAACGAACGAATGAATGAATGAATGAATGTTGTAATTTTCCCATTGGTTTGGCTGCGCGAAAGGGGTTAAGAAGGGCGACTTTTTGTACCCAAAAAGGGTTCAAAAACAGGACAAAAAGTCGCCAGTAAAAAACCCAAACCAAAAGGAAAATTACTTACTAAATGAATGAATGAATGAATGAATGAAACGAAACGAAACGAAACGTAACGAAACGAAACGAAACGAAATGAAATGAAACAAAAGAAATGAAAGAAATGAATGAAATGAATGAATGAATGAATGAATGGAATGAATGAATGAATGAATGAATGAATTGAATGAATTGAATGAATGAATGAATGAATGAAATGAATGAAATGAATGAAATGAATGAAATGAATGAAATGAATGAAATGAATGAAATGAATGAAATGAATGAAATGAATGAAATGAATGAAATAAATGAAATGAATGAATGAATGAATGAATGAATGAATGAACGAACGAATGAATGAATGAATGTTGTAATTTTCCCATTGGTTTGGCTGCGCGAAAGGGGTTAAGAAGGGCGACTTTTTGTGCCCAAAAAGGGTTCCAAAAACAGGACAAAAAGTCGCCAGTAAAAAAAAAACAAAACAAAAGGAAAATTACTAAATGAATGAATGAATGAATGAATGAATGACTGACTGAATGAATGAACGAACGAACGAACGAATGAATGAATGAAGACATGCCAGACTTCTTGTGAAAAAAAAAACGCAAAAAAAAAACATCAGGATTTTTCCTTTTTTTGGGCGTGATGTTAGCCACAAACCAGGTTGAAAAAAAAACAACCAAATAGAAGATATTGGTGTACAAAATGACCGACCAAACAGAAGATGTTCAATAATTAATTATTAATTAATTATAAAACTTTCATTGGGAAGGGTATCAGCCATGGAAATTAATTCAATGAACATCTTCTATTTGATTGGTCTGGCAGAAAACAAAGCTTCGGGGCTGAAAATTAATTAGGGACCGTTTTCACTCTTGAACAAGGTGTCATAACAGAACAGCTGTTATGACACCTTGTTCAAGAGTGAAAACGGTCCCTACTTTTCAGCCTCGAAACTTTGTTTTTTGAGAGACAGCTGCCAATTGCTGTCATTCTTTGGATTTCACTAAAGCCTAGTAACCCTAGTGACTTAGTAATAGTAAATAGTAGAATCAAGTGGAGTGAAGAGGAGCAAACATGACAACAAGAGGAAATAGTTTATAACTATGTATGCAACTATTTCCTCCTGTTGTCATGTTTGCTCCTCTTCACTCCACTGCTGCTGGCTTCTGCTGGCTGCTGCTGGCTGCTGCTAGCTGCTAGCTAGCTGCTAGCTGCTAGCTGCTGGCTGTTGGCTGCTGGCTGCTGGCTGCTGCTGCTGCTGCTGCTGCTGCTGCTGCTGCGGCTGCGGCTGGGGCTGCTGCTGCTGCTGCTGCTGCTGCGGCTGCTGCTGCTGCTGCTGCTGCTGCGGCTGCTGCTGCTGCGGCTGCTGCTGCTGCGGCTGCTGCTGCTGCTGCTGCTGCTGTGGCTGCTGCTGCTGCTGCTGCTACTGCTACTGCTACTGCTACTGCGGCTGCTGCTGCTGCTGCTACTGCTGCTGCTGCGGTGATGTTTGTCAAAAACCAAGGTCTCAAAACACAAACCAAATAGAAGATATTCTCTGACTCTAATTCTTTGTTGCGGTGATGTTTCTCAAAAACCCAGGTTGAATAGAAGATATTCTGTCTAATTCTTTGTTGCGGTGATGTTCGTCAAAAACTCAGGTTTCAAAGAACCAACCAAATAGAAAATTATTGTAGAAGTTTCGGGGCTGGAAAGGAGGGACCGATTTCACTCTTGAACAAGGTGTCATAACTGTTGTCATAACTATTTCCTCCTGCTGTCATGTTTGCTCCTCTTCCCTCCATTTCTACCCTTCGCGAAATCCAAAGAATGACAGAATGCGCAGCTGTTTCTCAGAAAACAAAGTTTTGGGGCTGAAAAGTAGGGACCGTTTTCACTCTCATAGCTGCTAACCTGCTAACTGTTAACTGTTAACTGTTAACTAACTTCCTCCTGTTGTCATGTTTGCTCCTCTTCGGTCCACTTCTACCCTTAGCCTTAGTAAGTATAAGTATCCAAAGAATGACAGAATACACAGTTGTTTCTCAGAAAACAAAGTTTCTGGCCTGGAAAGTAGGGACCGTTTTCACTCTTGAACAAGGTGTCATAACTGTCATAACTGACATAACATAACAGTTACATAACATAACTATTTCCTCCTGTTGTCATGTTTGGTCCTCTTAGCTCCACTTCTACTCGTGAAATCCAAAGAATGACAGAATGCGCAGCTGTTTCTCAGAAAACAAAGTTTCAGGGATGATAAGTAGGGCCGGGACCGTTTTCACTCTTGAACAAGCTGTCATAACTGACTGTCATAACTATTTCCTCCTGTTGTCATGTTTGCTCCTCTTGGCTCCACTTCTACCCTTGGTGAAATCCAAAGAAACCGACAGAATGCGCAGCTGTTTCTCAGAAAACAAAGTTTCGGGGTGGAAAAGTAAGTAGGGACCGTTTTCACTCTTGAACAAGGTGTCACATAACTGACTATTTACTCCCGCTGTCATGTTTGCTCCTCTTCACTCCACTTCTACCCTTCGTGAAATCCAAAGAATGACAGAACGTGCACCTGTTTCTCAGAAAACAAAGTTTCGGGGCTGATAAGTAGGGCTAAGTAGTAGGGACCGTTTTCACTCTTGAACAAGGTGTCATAATTATAATTTCCTCCTGTTGTCATGTTTGCTCCTCTTCCCTCCAATTCTACCCTTCGTGAAATAAAAAGAATGACAGAATGCACAGCTGTTTCTCAGAAAAGAAAGTCTCAGGGCTGAAAAGTAGGGACCGTTTTCACTCTTGAACAAGGTGTCATAACTGTCATAACTGTTAACTGTTAACTGACAGTAACTGACAGTTATATTTTACTAATAACTAATAACTAATAAATAGTAAATAGTTATTACTATTAAAATTACTAATTAGTTACTTTACTAACGTTACTAACAGTTACTAACAGTACTAACATTAACATTACTAACAGTAACTGTTTCCTCCTGTTGTCATGTTTGCTCCTCGTTGCTCCACTTCCACCCTTTGTGAAATCCAAAGTTCCAAAGTATGACAGAATGCGCAGCTGTCTCTCAGAAAACAAAGCTTCGGGGCTGAAAAGTAGGGACCGTTTTGATTTGTGAACAAGGTGTCATGACTATTTCCTCCTGTTGTCATGTTTGCTCCTCTTCACTCCACTTCTACCCTATCCAAAGAATGACGACAGAATGCGCAGCTGTTTCTCAGAAAACAAAGTTTCTGGCCTGGAAAGTCAGTTATAACAGTTAGTAACTGTTAGTAACTGTTAGTAGGAACCGTTTTCACTCTTGAACAAGGCGTCATACCTGGTAATACCTGTCCTACCTGTCATATTTCCTCCTGTTGTCATGTTTGATCCTCCTTGCTCCACTTCTACCTTCATGAAATCCAAAGAATGACAGAATGCGCAGCTGTTTCTCAGAAAACAAAGTTTCGGGGCTGATAAGTACAAGTAGGACGGAACCGTTTTCACTCTTGAACAAGGTGTCACAACTATTTCCTCCTGCTGTCATGTTTATTCACTCCACTTCTACCCTTTGTGAAATCCAAAGGATGACAGAATGCGCAGCTGTTTCTCAGAAAACAAAGTTTCCGGGCGGACCGTTTCACTCTTAAACTAGATGTCACAACTATTTCCTCCTGTTGTCATGTTTGCTCCTCATCTTCACTCCACTTCTACTCTTTGTGAAACACAAAGAATGACAGAATGCACAGCTGTTTCTCAGAAAACAAACTTTTGGGCCTGGAAAGTAGGGACCATTTTCACTCTTGAACAAGGTGTCACAACTATTTAAACTTTAAACTATTTCACTATTTCCTCCTGTTGTCATGTTTGCTCCTCTTCACTCCACTTCTACCCTTTGTGAAATCCGAATCCAAAGAATGACAGAACGTGCACCTGTTTCTCAGAAAACAAAGTTTCGGGGCTGATAAGTAGGGCGGGGCCGTTTTCACTCTTGAACAAGGTGTCACAACTATTTCCTCCTGCTGTCCTGTTTACTCATCCTCTTCACTCCACTTCTACCCGATTCTACCCTTTGTGAAATCCAAAGAATGACAGAATGCGCAGCTGTTTCTCAGAAAAGAAAGTTTTGTGGCTCAAAAGTAGGGACCGTTTTCACTCTTGACTCTTGAACAAGGTGTTAAATCTGTTAAAAATTTACTCCTGTTGTCATGTTTGCTCCTCTTCACTCCACTTCTAACTACCCTTTGTGAAATCCAAAGAGTGCCAGAATGCGCAGCTGTTTCTCAGAAAACAAAGTTTCGGGCCTGGAAAGTAGGGACCGCTTTCGCTCTTGAACAAGGTGTCAATAACTATTTCCTCCTGTTGTCATGTTTGCTCCTCTTCCCTCCACTTCTACCCTTCTTGAAATCCAAAGAATGACAGAATGCCCGGCTGTTTCTCAGAACATTCATTCCGTTCGTTCGTTCATTCAATCACTTATTTCTTTCAAAAGGTCAAGAAGAAAATATAAATATGTCAAGTAAGGGCCTTAGGGCCAGAGCTGAGGAATGCCTTAGGGCCTTAGGGCCTATGGACCTTTGGCTTTGTGGACCAACCAAAAAAGTGAAAGTCGATTTCAATAAAATTTTCTTCCTTTTGTTCTGTTATATACTAGTTACTAGTTACGTTATTTTAAGTTTAGTTTAGTTACGTTACAGTTTAGTTTAGCAGCTTAGCTTAGCTGCAGCTTTTAACAATCAAAAACATCAAGCAAAATCAAAGTTACTGATAAGGCAAGGATTTTTGTCAATCTAAATCTAAATGTGCTAGCAGCATTTTTTGCATTTTAGAATTTTGGAATATATTGTATGAACATTTTCATTAAATTGTAATGAAATTGTAATTGTAATGGAATTGCAATAGAAATAGTATTATATCATTGATATTTATATTTAGAAACTAGAATTCTGAATTCAATTAAAATGAAAATTAAAATTAAACAATTCTATAACTTTATTGTTGTTATTATCTAATAACTTAATAACTATTTAATAATAATAGTTATTATGTTTGTTAATTATTTTAATTATATTAATATATTATAGTGATTATGATTATTAAAATTTTAAAACTTAATAATTTATTAAGTAATAAAAAGGAAACTTAAACTTAAAATTTAAATTTAATTAAAATTTTGAAATTTAAATTTAGATTCAGATTCAGATTTAAATTTTAATAAAATGAAATTCTAAATTCTGAAATTTCCAGAAATTTAAAAAAACAGAAAAATGAATATTATCATTTTTTTTTACAAAAAAGATAGGACCAGCCATAACAAATTTCATAAGCAAAAAGTGAGAGGCTCCAAGACCATAAAAAAAACATATCGAAATCATAAGTGTTTTCAGGAGAGGCAAAAAAAACGTAAAATCAACCATAATGAAATCATAACAAAAACGTAACAAAAACATATCGAAATCATAAAAAAAAAATATTTTATAAAATAATTTCTCTGGCCACTTTGCAACTCTCAAGCCTAGTGGCTGGCATCCCATTGCCGAACATGACATGGTGCCCACCTAGAATCACAAGAATCAAATATGTCTGACAGGGTAAAAAGATAGCAACTTTCGATAAAACAAGGAAAACAACCATTCCCGCCCATACAAAATTGTGGCGTCAAAATACAATTGAGTTAACTAAGTTAACCATGAACCATCACCTGAAAGCTCGCTTGGAACACCAGTTTCTCCTGTGAAGTGGCCGGTCTCAAGGGCGATAAGGGCTCGGTCCTCGTCCCAATGCTGGTGATTTTCACAAAATTCGATGATTGATTACCCTCTGGTGAACTAACATAGCAATGGAAAATCACCATGCTATTAATGGGAAAATCCACTATTTCTATGGCCATTTTCCATTGCTATGTTAGTTCACCAGAGGGTAGCTGGGCGATTAGATGCTTGATATATTACCCTCTGGTAAATGAACAAAAAAGACCCTGCCATTTTTCGGGCTTGGAAGATTCGTTTCCAGTAAGAATTGGTGATAAAATCAGGGTCTATGTTCATTTACCAGAGGCTAATCACTAGAAAAACAATTGGATTTCAATATCTATTGTTAAATCATTAGCTCTTAGGTGATGGTTAGAATATCTAAAAATTGGTACATTGATGGGCCATTTCTTGCTTCATGGGTAAACTAACCCCATGATGGTTGAGCCACTTCCATACTTTTTTTCGGAGGCTGTATTAGGTCGTAGCAATCCAAATCACGTCGACACATGCCAAGTTCAGCCTACACGTCGTATGATTTCAGGATACCCTCTGGTAACTAAGCGTTCGCGGACCCTTCGCGAACTGGGTTTTATCACCATCTTTTAGTTCGGTAAATCAGTACATGGAAACTATTTCGAAAAAGGGGCCAGTTTCAAGTCAGCCACTGGTCACTGGTCAAAAAAACCATATCGGAATCCAGTTCAGCTGGTGAAATCGTCAGTCTTTGATATCACAAACAGGTCACATGGCCATCAGGCCGCATAGCATATAGCAGGCCTAATATCAGGCCATCCCAACCTTGGGATTGAAGGGCCAAAATGTATCAATTGTTGCTGGTGAATATATGTGAATATCCCATAATTTATCGGCTAAATGAATGGCAGAAACCCATATTTGTTCTTGGTAAAAACCACAACATATTCTTTACGCTCGAATTGGGAAGAAAAATCCTACATCGATGCAAATTTGGGTAACCAGCTACATGACTTGCTGGAACATCCTGCAGCAATAGTTCGATGATTTTCCCACCAATAACCTCCATTTTCTAGGGGTGATTTCCAGGTAGCCATGTTTGATTGGAGGGCATCATGTACTGATGATATCTATTGACTGTATATCTCATTGTATCCCCATGAGATCTCGATAAAAAAATAGCCTCCACTATATTCCAGTATATAAGTTCCTCGTGTTGATGGTTGATTGTGTCCCTGTTGTTTAATGGTGAACCCCCCCATTTCAGTCCAACCCAAAGATCATAGTCGTATCAAGCTGGCGACATCTTCCATTGATATCCAATGAAATATCCCTTCGTATCCCAAATATCATTTGAGCTATCTCATTATCTCCCACTATAGCACCCGTAGAGTATTGTGCCTTTCCGTAGAGTTACCAACTACAAACTTCCATTTGAGCAGTGTTCAACATGAACTACGTCATCCCTTCGACTTGTTCATAGGAAATCCCATATTGGATTATGATAATCCCAATATAAAACCCCTTTTTCATCAAATCCACCAGGGTCAACCAGGGTCAACCAGGGTCAACCAGGGTCAACCAGGGTCAACCAGGGTCAGCTGACAACTATTCCTTTGATTTCCTTTGGGGTCCGGGAAACAAAAATCCAGCCCTAAGCGTTTCCACCATGGAGAAACCCGTCACCATGGTGACAATCCACCCACGAGATCCACGCTGCTTCAACTCGCTGGCGTCTTCCTCACCTTCAACGCTGGCCTAGAGACGTGCTGTGGGACCGAGAAACCATAAGAAACCATGACTATGGGTAGCAAACCCTATGTAAAGATAGAAAAGGTTCAGTTTACCATGATAATTAGATAGATAATTAGTAGGAATTTACCCACTTGTTTTGGCTTGGTGGTTGCTATAACAGTTGGGATTCTAACCCTCATAAGTTGGGATATCATCCTTATAATTGTCGTATATTGTGGTTATCTGACCAGGTGTCAAAAACCTGGTGTCCGGTGAAACGGTGAAACCCGAAACGGCTGCGCTCTCGCTGGATGTTGAGATATCCCATAGCTGGTGAGGAAGGAAGGTTGGTGTCAGACGAATGAACCATATCAAAAATGAATATGGAATAGTTCGCTTAGTATACCCTCCGGTAATGTTGAACAATCATCCATCCACAGTGCCCACTCTTGTGGTGCGCCGACAGGCTTGCGCCTGGTGTGAAAAAACTCCTAATTAGCAATTGTAAAATATTAAAAATGCTGAACTAGGTGAACTCATCTAATACTTTTCGATGGTAGCCTCCCAATTAAACAGCCGGGCTAGGGGTTTAATCCAGGGTTGACATTACCATCGACATCGCCTGCTACACCTTTGCGGCGCGCCTGTGTGGCATCCAGCTGGGTGGGAAGGACTTCAGGCCTTGCGAAGCCGGATTTGGATGGTTTTTCTTGGTTGGGATTGGTTTTTGTTGGGAAAATCTTCACCGGAAACATCCGGAAACCATGGTCTTTACCTTTCAATATAGGGCTTTCCTGTACAAAAAGAAACCTTAAACGATAATCCAATGATTTCTGGAAGAGAAGATTTGGACACAATGTTGGATGAACATGGATGAAAGGACCGGGAAGATCTGGGTAGGTAGATGCGTGGGAAAAATGGGATTGGAACAAACCGATTGCTGTTCATCTTCTCAATTTTTGCCTGACCCACAGTGGCACTAAAAGCCCTTTTTTGGGCGCACCTGTAATCCTAGATAGTTCATATTTTTCCGCGGTTGACCTGATCTCAAACCAAGCAGCATCCCTCCTTCCATTGCTGGCAAGATTGCCACCTTCAACTGACTATTCATTGTTTCAATCCAAAATATAATGAAACCCTACATTTCACTGGAACAAATTCCGTTCTCCTCCAGTTGAAACAACCCATGAAGCAAAGAAAAACTCCTTCAGGAATCAAAACCGGGTCCGCGGGCAAAGCGAATCCCCTGGTCATCACCCAATTCTTTTTGGGGGTACCGTAACTTTGACACTCTGCGATTGCTGCACTGTTCGTGCTTGGTCTTTGCAAGCATGCACCGGAGAATTATCTATCTGGTTGGTGGTTTCAACCCCTCTGAATATTAGTTGGGATGATGATTCCCAAAATATGGAAAAATAAAGTTCATGTTCCAAACCACCAACCAGCTATGGTAATCAGGTACAGTAACCATAAACCATCGCCAAGAAAATGCCACCCAGCCGACCGGAGTCCGACCAGCTCGGCATCCCGGCGAGGCATCGTTCTCCTCGTCCAGCTCCGTGGAGGGACAGTCGCTTTCATGCTCGGCATCCTCGCTGGCGATCTGATCTTTCGCGATGGGATGTCAACCAGCAATGACCCATGTCCAAAAACACGGATGAAATATGATGAATTCCTCAGAATTGGGAATTTGATGGAATTTGGCAGCTGATGAAAATGGAGATGTTCAGTTTCTTCAAGATCTTCCCAGCACTAGATCACAAGCATTTGAGTAAGGATGATGTCAAGGTATGTCAGGGTGCTAAACCAGCTGAGAGGCAAACCAGGCAAACATCCGGTTAAACAATCTGAAATATACCGAAGAATTCTCAAACACAAAAACCTAGGATCTTGTGGTTTCGCCCAAACCTAAAAATTGTTTCGAAAAATGTTGGATCATCATAACATTTCTGGGGAGGATATACCGAACCATTAAAATGACACCAGGCAACTCAGGGAAATACCCAGTTCAACATGCACATGGTAGAAACACAAACATTGTTGAATATCCCATGAAAATTCATGAAATCACTTGAAAACACTTTTAAATCATATGGCAGTGTGTCAAAACCTTGTACCCCTGGTGAACATCAAAATAGCTGGTAAATGGATGTTCATCCCCCTACAAATGGTATTAATAGGTATTGATCCATACCCATATTAAATCATATGACATAAATCATGATTTCCCATGATATTCCCATTAAAAATCCCATTAAAAATCCCCATTAAACATTCGCCTCCTCGTGCTCGGAGCGTGCGTAGCCTCAACCGTCCAGGCTATAAAATGGCGAACTGGAAACCATGGCCCATGAAACAGGTAATTATGTCTGTATATATATATAATATATGTTGACGGGTAATTTCAAATCTGTAATAGGTAAATTATGTGTAGCAAAATGGGTAATCATCATGTTTAAGATTGTTTAAGGATTTACCTATCAAAATCGGTGTTTTTGAAAAAAATGATTACCACATTTGCAAATTACTGAAGTTATTGCTGTAAATGTTGGTTTCAGGCGGGTAGACATATCCTTGTATACCTAAGTATTTCCCAAATGTTTGTGGCTGAGAGCATCCTGAAAAAGATCCAAAAGTAGCATGTCCCACTAAAATGCGTAAATTTGGCAATTCTGAATCTGTTTTGAGGGCTACTAAATCCATGCACGTCCTTAGAAACCCGCAATACAATATGCAAATTTGTCATTCGGAGTCAGGTTGGGGTGGGGTGGGGTGGGGGTAATAGCGTTCATGTCAACTTGAACACGCATGGATTGTATGTTGTGCACATGGGGGTGGGGTTGGGGTGGGGTGGGGCAACAACGTTCATGTCAACTTGAACACTTGCACACATACGTAATGCTACGCTCTGGGATCTTCCCTTGCACTTGCACGCATACGACATGCTACGCATGTCACGTTTTTTCTTGTTACACATACATAGATATATTTATGTTTCCTTTGGAGGTGCAACTTTCTAACCGATGTCCCGGACGTCCACATCCCAAACATTTGCGAACCATGGGGTACTGGAAACGACCAATGGAACGAAAAATTGACTACTCAACAAAACCATTCTTAAACTCCATGCAAGTGTTTCATTCTCATGTTCCAAATGATGTACCACATCTGACGCATTCATGAATTCATGAATATAAAAGTTAGTTTCAAACATCCTGATTTATTCCTCTGGAAAGACCAAAACCATTGTTTCCCTTCAAACATATGTTAAGATGAATAACAAAGAACCTAAAACTGACTGTATTTGCCTGTTCCAAACACATTCCAAAACAAATGAACCAAAATCAATGAAACACACACGTCCTTTCCTGAAAGGGTTTCTGTGGACATGCACCCTAAAAATGCTTCTATATAATTATGTATGTATATATATATTATACATAGACTACATATACATAGATACTATAAATATATCCATGATGTGATTAACCACATTTGCATCTACATATGACATATAGATGTATATATATATAATTATATGATATATATATATATGCATATGTGCTGTATCATATATCACATACAATACATACCATTAATTGCATTAACCTCCAGATTTTTCCCATGTCCCCCACATCGGCGTCCTCCATCCAACAGTGCGGCTGTAGCCGTGTCGTTGCAGGGCAGCCTTGGTCGTGTGGATTTTTCTTCACGATTTTCCTGGGGAAACCATGGCTTTTCCTACGGTAGACAATGTAAACATATAGAAAGATGTGGGAAGACCTACTAATGTTTGGATGTCAAAAACTTCATGAACAATTTGAATACTCTCGTTTGGATCGTACAGTAATCGTACAATTCTGATGCGGGACGGCTTCTTCGAAATTGATATATGGTTTTAAGTGGGTTGTCGGTCGTGTCCAATGTTGGATTTAAGCAAAAAAAAAATGAGGTTCAGAAATAGCTTCGAAACGTCTGGAAATGCCATGGGAAATATTCAAGACTTGGAATGAATGGCGGCATTGAGGCATACTTATTTCAGAGTTGTCTGCTGCTGTTTGTCGATATTTCTAGCACCTGCCTTCTTGGTAAGGGTTTTGCACCCTTGCGTTGCACTTGCACTGTGGAAGGTTCTTAGGGGCTGTGGATGGGCTATGGCTGCTGCGTGCTCAAGGGGAGGGCGCATCTCACTGACAGTATGTTTTGTTGGTAATTGCTCTTTGGTGCTGTGGCCAAACTGTGGGAAACATCTCACAAACAGTTTGGTTTTGCACTGTTTTGCAACAGCTCGAATGAAGGTGAAAAGCATCTTACAGGCACTTTGTTCTTGCACCTGCTTGTGGAAACTACAGCGTGAGAAACATCTCAGGATTACTCAATGTGTCGTTCACATCCGCGCATCACAGCCACATTCTATGTGGAATGTCTATTCACAACATTCATCTTGAAACCGCTCTCTGCTTTGCCTAGGCCTAGCCCTAGAATTGGATTTTTCGGTTATCGTGTGGGCTATCATTCGGGGCCACGGCCAAGAAACAGAAAGTGCACTTTCTAACGTGTTAAAGAGAAACCTTTCCTTGCTGTGTATGGCTCCGCATGACTACAGCCTAGCCAGGAACGATTTCCACAATGGACAGCATTGGATGGAGAGATTTGGACTATCGGTCTATCGTTCGCGGCGCAGGGCCAATCAAAGTTGAAAAAACAAGCACTTCAACAGCCGCAGTTAGGTGCAGGACGGCTTCTTGAGATGAAAACTAAAAAAGTGGTGGGGACAGCAATGTCTCAAAACCCTGCAAAAACGCAAATCCGGGTTTTTGACGGAACTGTTTCTGTAGGAAAATGATCTACCGGTGGAAAACTGAAACGTCTGTTAATTTACATGAGGGTAGCTTCCTGTAATCAGCTACATGGCTTGCTGGAAAATCGCCCAGTTCTAGTTATAGATGATTTTCTCATCTAAATGACTATAGTTATGATGGATTTTCCAGCAAGCCATGTAGCTGATTCCCGTTTCGGGTGTGTGGTTAATAACCCCCAAAAAGATAGAACTGTAAATTCGCAAAATAGTGATCCAATGGCTATGGTTGTGCACCAGCTAAATTCTGCAAGGATATGTGAGGAACACTTCGCATCGTCATCGTGATTTTTAGCTTTCCCGCATTAAACATCATTAAACCTATTCTCGAGCTGTACTGGCCAAGGCTGCTGCAATCTCTGGGATACAGCCACCTGCCGAGCCAAGCCAGTGGTGTCCCTTCCAAACATCAACCAGTGGAGCTCTGAAATGCCACAGCCATCGAAATCACCATCTAAAGCCGCCCACAATAGCACCCTGTTCAAATCTGCGTGGGAAACTTAGGTATGGATAGGTATGGTTTAATTCCTCCTTTGGATATCATGATCTTTACAGAAGATCGATCCAACAAAAAAAACCATAGGATGAGCTCCACTCAGTCACCAGTCCCACCAGTCCTCGACTCAAGGCCTCCAACTTCCCGCAGGCTTCTGCGAACTTTGGGGACACCTGGGTCATCCCAACTGATCTTCCACTGGATCTACAACAGCCCAATGAGTCACATCGAGTCTCTCCGGAATGCTGATGGCTTCAAGCATGGATAAACTACCAGGAACTACCTCTTCTGGTCAAATATCCCAGAGAAACATGGTTAGATGATCTTAGATGGAAAACATCAATGCACCTGAAACCCGATCCCTCTCCGTCAGAGCCTTATCTTTGGGCGTCACCTCCACGGCGAGTCATACCGCAGTTTCTTGGACCCAAAATCACTGGAACGCCGGGACAGCCCTGCTCTGGACTTTTCAAGTAGGCTGCGAGCAGTCCTCAACATATGGGGAGCATGAACAGGTCCGTAATACAGTCAATATCGGTCAATATCGGTCAATGCATGTCAATGCTATCCCCAGTTTTCGCGTGGCACTTATGGCCATTATGGGTATGAAATGGTATATCATATGGGAAATAAGCTACCATAATCTACCATATGATCATATGGCTAATTCCCTTATGGTCTTATTGAACGATAGCCATATCGGTATTTTTCACAAACGATATGGAAAGGCCAGCCATGGGTTTTTCCCACCTCGTCCGGGTTCCTTTGACTCCATGCAGCCTGTGTCACTGAGCTGGCCATTGTGAAAAAATGAGTTGGAATGGAATTGCGCAGGGAATCCACAAATACAATTGAATCTATAGATCTTTATAGATCATTATAGATCCATTAGATCTTTCTAGATCATTATAGATCCATAGATTCTGAGAATTGGGGATTCTATGGATCAGATTCTTTCAAAATTCTATGGCCAACCTCGCCTCACCCTCTCGGTCAAGCCATAAAAGAGAGAAATGCAGTGAAATTTCATGAAATCAATTCAGCAAATGTACCATGATGTACCATGTTCCTACTCAAAACAAGCCAACTTAGGTGGCTTTAGGGTCCCCATGGGTCCCCATTTTCAGGGGCCACTGAGTGCCAAACGGGCGTCGGAGACGAAAGTTCCTCTTTGGCAATCAGGTTTCGTCCTCGCCGGGTCGCTGCAGCGAAAATCATATGGAGGTACCAACATAGAAAAAAACAATAGATGTACTACAACATTTCTTTGAAATGTTGAAAAAAATATATGAGCCATGTTAGGTACATCTTGTTCCATCCCCAAAGAACTAGTGAAATGTCAAAAATTGAGATCAACATCGGCCCATGGCCGGATCCATGATCCCCATGATCTCCATCAGCTTCACAGCTTGACCCCCGACCTGCGCGTAACGCTGCATGAAGTTGCTTCATCATGCACTCCTCCACCATGTCGGGGGTGCCTGCAGAGATTTTTGTCGGAAAGGCGGAAGAAATCTTCACCAGGTTGTAGAGAGATATCCCCAACAATTGCCGTTCAAAGATCTACAACGTTGCTAAGTGAACTATATTTTTTGCAGTTCTTTTGAACTATATCTTTTGCTAAGTAATATCTTTGAACAATTGAAAGATATAGTTCAAAGATCTTCTTTGATTGTTGATCATACAACGTGCTGAAATATGAATTCATGTGCCGTTCTGTTCTACTGGTGAACCTTTGGGCTAAGTGTTGATACAAACACAAACTATGAACTTAGTATCAAGAAACAAGCGCAGCATATGTTTTCCCATATTGGCAGTATTTGGCAATTATGTTGTTATAGTGAATATTCCCAATACAGTGAAGCGCAACACCAGGAAAAACTTCTTATCCATTCGCTGTAAAGGCCAAAAAAAAAGATCCCAGTTCTCCAAATCATAAAATGGCAGGTTCTCTCCAGAAATGGCAGAGTTGCAGTACCCCTTCTGCATACTTTTTTTTTGCGCCAGTCACTAGGTATATGAAAAATAACTCATGGGATTCCTGGCAAATAGAAAATAGCACAGGCTATAACTTGCCCATTTAAACTTAAATATAACTGATGATAACTCTATGGGATTATACATAAGCCATGACAAAAATGGTTTTTCTTAGTACTTATTATAATTGCTTTAACTGGGGCCATAACTGCAAATAACTTGGCCTCATGCGCCCATAAATTCACCAACCAACCTCGGGAGTTTCACGTCAAAATCGCAATGGACGTTCATCCCGTTTCATCCCCTTAAAAATGGTGAAAAAATAGGTTATTCCCCCTAAAAATGGTAGGAAAACATATGTTATTTCCCCTAAAAATGGTAGGAAAACATAGGTTATTTCCCCTAAAAATGGTAGGAAAACATAGGTTATTTCCCCTAAAAATGGTAGGAAAACATAGGTTATTTCCCCTAAAAATGGTAGGAAAACATAGGTTATTTCCCCTAAAAATGGTAGGAAAACATAGGTTATTTCCCCTAAAAATGGTAGGAAAACATAGGTTATTTCCCCTAAAAATGGTTAGGAAAACATAGGTTATTTCCCCTAAAAATGGTAGAAAAATAGAGATATTTCCCCTAAAAATGGTAGAAAAATTGGCTATGTGTAAAAACATAGGTATTGATCCATGGCCATATGGCCATCAGTTGTCCTGATGAAATCCGATCAAAATTCCAGGAGCTCCGTCCCCTCCAGCCTTGCCCGTCTCCAGGTTCCTAGGGATTTCGCAACAACATCTGGATCAAAATAATGAAACCAAAAAAGGTACAGCAACTATCTGATGTATATATATATATATATTATGATTTTATCATCATTATTAGTAATATTACTATTTTTTCTATTATGCAAATATATATATATTTATTATTATTATTTTTTTTTATTATTATTATTCTTGGTTTATTATTATTATTATACTATGTATATATATACATATTATGTGTATATATATATATATATATTACAGTGTATATATATACGTGTGTGTAACTATGTATATATATAACTATATATATAACTATAATATATATGTATGTATATATATATATAGAAACTATTATGAACTACTGTATTTCTGAACCAATCGAGTATGGATTCAAAGTCCTTGAAACAACAAAACATATGATCTACCTGGAGAGACGAACCATGAAAATGCAGTATCTCTAGCAAGCCTTGCAATGGAAAATCGCCCACTACTGATTGGCATTTATAGAGGATTTTCCCGCCTCAAAGATATGGAATTTCTAGCCAGCCATACTTTGTTGCAGGAAGGTTTGTTTTTGCATCACGGTTGTGGCTTAAAATCAGAGACCTCTGAAACTCGAGCACAGAGTGACTGGTAATTGTCAGTACTAAACGTTCAATTCAATTCTTGTGGTCAATCGTTTTGATTCATGGTCAAAACACGAGACATACCTTCCGGTAAGCAAACGTGGCAATGGAAAATCCCCGCATATACGGATGATTTTCCCATTAAAAGCTCCATTTGCAGGGGTTTGCCAATACCACGTTCGTAGTGCCCGTGCAGGTGAAGAGGCCCTTGAGTCTGAAATGAAGTTGTCAGGGAATCACCCCACGATGTATCGATAAGTAGAGTTGTTAATGAGGGAAACATCCTTCCTCTGGAATTTCAAATGGTCATCTCAGCAAAGTATTTAAAATTACTTTACTTCGTGTGATCCCCACCATGACATGTATACATTTTCTTACTGGCAAATCTTCTGGCATTCTATCTGACATATCTTTTGGCATTCTATCTGGCATATCTTCTGGCATATTATCTGGCAAATCTTCTGGCATTCTATCTTTTAACTTTCTTCTGCACATTCTTTGTCCCATATCTTCCTACATGAGGTCCGGCAGGGAACACTTGGCGTGGATACTCGCGGTTGAGGTCCGGCAGGGAACACTGGGCGTGGATGGTCGTGGTTGAGGTCCGGCAGGGAACACTGGGCGGGGATGGTCGTGGTTGAGGTCCGGCAGGGAACACTGGGCGTGGATACTCGCGGTTGAGGTCCGGCAGGGAACACTGGGCGTGGATGGTCGTGGTTGAGGTCCGGCAGGGAACACTGGGCGAAGATGGTCGTGGTTGAGGTCCGGCAGGGAACACTGGGCGTGGATGGTCGTGGTTGAGGTCCGGCAGAGAACACTGTGGATCGCGGGTCGCAGTTGAGCAAGGACGACGAGGACGACGAGGACGACGAGGACGACGAGGAGGACGAGGAGGAGGAGAGGAGGACGAGGCAGGAGGAGGCGGAGGAGGAGGAGGAGGAGAAGGAGGAGGAGAAGGAGGAGAAGGAGGAGGAGGAGGCAACTGACATAAAATCTAACAACCCTCACCTGGCAGGTGGGGAAAAAAAATGATTTTCTCATATTTTCGCCATGAGACAGGTTTTCCAATGTACCATGACTTATGAAACAATGGCAGTATCGCCAGATTTTTCAAGATTTTGGTGGTTCAACATTGCTCCGGGCCAGCAACTTGGACATTGTACTTCAATACATAGAACACTAGATGAATATAGAAAACTAGAAATATAGAAAACTAGAAATATATATATTGTTTTTTTACTCCCTATACATACTAGATTAATTGTACTTATTTATGATAGAATATAGATTATACAAACAGATAGATGATAGATGATAGATATAGATACTAGATATAGACAGATACTGTATAGTATACGTATAGATATTACATATACACATATCCCAGGTATGAGGATTGACATCACACAGTTACATGAATGTCAAGAAGAAACAGGTTCGAAATTCAGGTGTCACCCAGTGCGATATCTCAGTTTCTGCTGGTTCAATCTTTGGTTTTCCGCAAACACGTTTTGCTGCTGAATCTTAATTTTTTATTCAGGAAAAAACATACTGTTGCTTATAAACCCTTATATCACTTAATAGGATAACTTAATAGGATAGCATCATTAGGAAAATCCAATGGTTCACACTAGTTTTTGTCACTTAAATCAGCTACCTCAAATTTTTGGTTAGAAAACACCTTGTGTTTTTCATGATTTCCCCTGTATCTTTGCCACGGACCCAGCCGTTTGATCCGGGCACCCCACGCCCGGCTCCGGCGCAGCAGCTGTCCAAGGATATGACAGACCCAAGGCTGACGGCAGGTGTAGCAGGGAAGTCGCGGCAGGATACAATCATCGAAGGAAGTTTAGAAGTCAAACTTCCGACAATATGGACAAATGGAAAGGCAGAGGTGGGGAGAGTCAGAGAACAGAAGAGAAGAGCAGACGAGAGAAGATCAGAAAAGAGAAAGAGTCAGAAGAAAAAAGATGCAGGTGCGCGATAGGAAAGTCGCGAAACACTGTGGTTTTCCAATGATTTGTGGCTCCGGAAAGCCAAAAAATAGGCTCGCTAAAGCCAGATGAGAGATGGAAAGTTGTACGCCGCTGTGGCGCGAAGCACATTTGGAAGTCAAAATGTACAAAACACACCATTCTCGGACCACTTTTGGAAGTTGAGATGTCGAAAGAGTGCGCGCCGTTGTGGTGCGAAGCACATTTCAAAGTTAAAAGTGCAAAACAACTGAGAGGTAAGGAGCACCTTTGGTCGTTCAGATGTCATTTTGTGTGGCAGGCGCAAGCAAGAAATTGTGCACCTTGCCAAAAGCGGGCAAGACGTGAGGGTTTTGTAGCAGTTTCAACTACAACCACCACTACACTCCACTCCACTCCGCTACACTGCAACTGCAACTACAACTACAACCACAACTAAAACTACAACTACACTACATTACATTACATTACACTACGCTTCACATATTCCATTACATCACACTACACTACACTAATTACACTACACTCCACTCCACCCCACTCCACTCCACTACACAAACTACGACTACAGCTACAACTAGAACTACAACTTCAGCTGCACTACACCACACTACATCCAGCAGTTGTGGGTGAGGTGACCGACCAGGTGACCACTGAAACCATTGCAGCCACTTCGGATTCGCTTTGCCATTCGTGATTCACAACAACCAAGCACTCCTATCAGTTTCCTATTCTGAAACTTACGCCACCGCCTTGTGCGGTACTACTGGTAGAGGTCTTATGGGGCTATGTATGGCGGGATATCTCCATTAATCAACAATACTGGGAAGATATATCTATGGGATATCATATAGTAGATACGGATACACTGCAGATATAGATATGGTCTTATGGATGTTGTATGGAGATATTATATGTTAATCAACACTATTTAGAAGATCAAGGGATATGTCTATACCATTCTATACCACCCCTCTTAGCCCCAGATAGACCCTGTCAAATAAAACAGGTGTAATTCTCAGGATCGAGCTTTCAGTTGAGGGGATCCCAGGGGAAGTTCTTGGTTTTGGAGATATCACCAACATAATTGTTTGTAGAGAAAAAACTTATGGAAACGTCAGTGGTCACCCATACACAACCCATATAGTTGGTGATATTCCACAGATAGCTGAGTGAACCAAGATGAGCACTTACCCACTGGCATTCACCACACAAGAAAGTTGGGAAGGATCGGTGATGAGGTTCGGAACTTTTAATGATGGGTTCGTTGCTAGTTTTTCACGCCAGAAAAGAATATATGTATATATGTATCTGTATATGTATATATATATAGGGATTAATAAATGTATTGCTATACTATATGAATATAACGACATACACGTATCTTTCTTATGTGTCCTGGTTTCTATCGCATGACTTCCACACGGTTTTACCATCAACCATGGCGGCCTTTTCAGCAAACTCCAAGAGGTCTTGAGGTTCAAGCCACTTTGCTGCTGCCCAGTTTGATGACTGATTTTGTGACTGGATCAAAACTTTTTTATGTGTGTGTGTGCAGGTGTGTGTGTGTGCGCATTTATATATACATAATTATACTGGTTGGTGGTTTGAACCCCTCTGAAAAAGATTAGTCAGCTGGGATTATTGTTCCCAATATATGGAAAAATAAATTAAAGGACCGGATGGCCCCACATGTCAACTTCTTCCAACAAGCAGCAAAAGAAAGGTAAAGATGGCATGGGAAATGCAGCAGGAAAGAGAAAAGAGATGGTGAAGGATTGGCGTGTGCAACAAGGAACCCGTGTGTGAGTAAGTTGTGCGTGAGGAAGTTGTGTGGTGATAAGTTGTGTGTGAGGTGTGTGTGTGTGTGTGGACCATGAGCAACACATGTTGTAGCGGGACGGGGAAGGAAGGAAAGACAAAGGAGGTGGCGAAGGATCGAGAAGTTAAAAGAGTTGCGTGGGACAAAGTTGTATGTGAAAGACCGTGTGTGACAAAGAAAGATGGTGTGTGAAAAGATGGTATGTATGTATGTATGTATGTATGTATGCATGTATGTCTGTATGTAATGTTCTGCACTATGCAACCGCAAATTTTGCCAACTCTTTCTGCATGCCTTGTGGCTGGAAATCATCCCTACCGGGAAGGAAGGAAAGACAAAGGAGGTGGATGTCACCAAGTGCCACGCCGGCCACGCAAAGTCAAGATGGCCACGCCTGCCACGCAAAGTGCCAAAAGTGCCACGCTTGCCACGCAAAGTGGAAGTCCATGTTGCCAAGTGCCACGCCTGCCACGCAAAGTGACGCTCGATGTCGCCAAGTGCCACGCCTTCCACGCAAACAGCGGCGGCGTCCACAGCGCCAACTGGGAACCAAGCGCCCCACCAGAGCCAGCCCAGTGCCATAAGTGCCACGCCTGCCATACAAAGTGGAGATCCATGTCGCCAAGTGCCACGCCTGCCACGCAAACAGCGGCGGCGTCCACGGCGCCAACTGGGAACCAAGCGCGCCACCAGAGCCAGCCCAGTGCCATAAGTGCCACGCCTGCCCCGCAAAGTGGAGGTCCATGTCGCCAAGCGCCACGCCTGCCATGTCGCCAAGTGCCACGCCGGCCACGCAAAGTGACGGTTGTCAAGTTGTGTGTGTGAGTAAGTGGTGTATGAGAAGTTGTCGAGATGTGTGTGGACAAGTTGTGTTGGAGCAAGTTGTCTGTGGAGAAGTGGTGTGTGTGAGCAAGTCGTGCGTGTACAAGTTGTGTGTGTGAGCAAGTTGTGTGTGGACAAGTTGTGTGTGAGTAAGTTGTGTGAGCAAGTTGTGTGTGAGCGAGTTGTGTGTGGACAAGTTGTGTGTGGACAAGTTGTGTGTACAAGTAGTTGTGTGACAACTTGCATGTTGACAAGGTGTGTGTGGACAAGTTGTGTGTGGACAAGTTGTGTGTAGACAGTTGTGTGTAGACAAGTTGTGTGTGGACAAGGTGTGTGTGGACAAGTTGTGTGTAGACAGTTGTGTGTGGACAAGTTGTGTGACAACTTGCATGTTGACAAGGTGTGTGTGGATAAGTTGTGTGTGGACAAGTCGGAGCGGCGGAGAGGCGGAGGTGCAGAACCAAAAACAAGAACCCCACACAAAGATGTGGGGAAAAATGTTCCAAACCACCAACCAGTATATATAAATGAATAACACAAAAACTGGGACTGACCCTTTTTTACAACTTCTTCCCCTGGTTGCCCCTGCCAGACCTCAGCCACCCAGCCACGGACCGCGCCTAAGCAGCGGCGTTCTTCATCACGCCACAGCTCTCTTAGGGTCTCCTCAGACAAACGCAGCGAGACAGAAAAATCGGGTGACCGGATTTGTTGCTCTCATGATGTGAATTAATGGGACTTTGATGGGATTTAATGGTGACGTTCATCTCATCAATCAATTTGAGGGATATGGGAATGGATCAAAAATGAGATTTATAGAGGGGATTCAATTGGAATTTCATGGCATTATCATCCACGTAATGGGATATGTGTTGTATCTCATTTTTTTGGGGATTGAATGGCCCATTTATGGACGTATAGATTAATATCGATTATCTATAGATAATGTCTGATTCCTTAATGGGAGTGTCATCCACTTAATGGGATATACCGTCTGATTATTTAACATAGCTCTGGAAAATGGCATGTTTAGCGCGATGATTTATGATGATTTACCGCGTAAAAATGGTGAATTTCCATGGCTATGTTAGATAACCAGAGGGTAATGATATAATAATCATGAAACCATTATATCGATTGGAAATGACTTTGGGATACATGGGGATGTTCATCAACCTTGATGTGAGGATAATATATATATATAACATATAACTGGAATGTGATGGCGACATAACGGTAAAGGAACAACCAACTCAACCTGGTACCCAGCTGCTCGCATATTCGTCGAACATGGTCATGAACAACGGATCTTCATCCCCTAAAAATATGGTGATGGCTTGGGTGGATGCCCCAGCCAAGTCTTATAGGATCTTTAACTGGCTACCCAAACAGGTCATCAAAATTCATCAAACATGGCAAATCCCATCCTTGAAAGATCTTCCCACTTCAAATTGCCATTTTTGCCGCCGGGGATGTCAGGGATTTCCATCTTTGATAACCAACTGCTGGGAGGCCCAAAATTTTTGCAACAGCAGACCCACTGGGCTAGTGGACCGCATACTGTTTAAAGTCGTCCCCATAATGATAGGGAAAAGAGCTACTACTGATTTGATTATGTTTTTTTGGGGTACTATGGCCTTAAACAACTGAACCATGCAAATTTGTGAACTAAATCTGGCAGGTTTGGGTACTACAGTGACTGACCATCAATGACAATGAGCGGTGCCCTTTTGATTGGTATCATCCCGTTGTACTAGCTGGTTTATAGGGCTTCGCATGATGGGTGTAGTAATCCCTACAAGATGTATGGTAGTATGTCCCCCACAAACATAAAGCAGAACAGAATAATGTATTTACAAATTATATATATAACTGGTTGGTGGTTTTAACCATCTTGAAAACATTACTCAATGGGAAAGATTATCCCATATACTATGGAAAATAAAAAATGTTTGAAACCACCAACCAGATAATTTGACCATGTAACTCCCCTTAGTATTCCCATTGTATCCCCACTTCGAAAGACCAAAAGCAGAAATTCGACGAAAGGCACTGGGTTTTGGACCTCAGAATCATCAATGGAAAAGAGCCTATACATATGGAGGTTTTATATTATTCATTCATAAATAGGCCTGGTCCTTGTCCCTGTTTTATGGCAAAAATCATCATTCCAGCAACACGCCTCGTGAGGTCATCAAATTCATGCATATTCATTTTGATTTTTCATCCCTATCAATCAGTATTCATCCCTATATTAATCCCACCAAAATGGCAAAAGATTAATTAGGTTCTCGTCGCTCGTACTCACTGAATCCCCATTTAATCAACATTCATCAACATGAATCAACAATGAACCCCTATGAATCCCTGATTGGTGGTACAAAAACAGCCCATCTTCAAACACACAAAAAAAACGAAACGCACCGCGCCAAGCATCGCAGATCCATCCGGATGTCCTCTGCTGCACCGACGCCGCAGAGCTACCGGAGGCTCCACTGGGACTTTGCGAAGCCGTGGCAGCAATGGGAGGCATCAAGTCCTCGGCGACGACGAGAGCCCAACAATTTGGTGCCCCCGGTAGCGTTCAGTTCGTTTATAAGTGGCTTAACTATGGTTTATGGTAGATAAAACTATAGTTAATGGGGTTTATAAACTAACTAGGATTTATGATCGAAGGAAATTTAGAAGTCAAACTTCCGACAATATGGACAGATGGAAAAGCACAGGTGGGAAGAGTCAGAGAAGAGAAGAGAAGAAGAAAGAAGATCAAAAAAGAGAAAGTCTCAGAAGAAAGAAGATCCAGCGCGAAAAGGTAGGAAAGTCGCGAAACACTGTGTTTTTCCGATGATTTGTGGCTCCGGAGGGTTGAAAAGTAGGCTCGCTAGAGCGGCGGGTGCGGAGCCAGCTGGCCAGATGAGAAATGAAAAATTGCACGCCGTTGTGGCGCGAAGCACATTTCGAAGTCAAAATGTACAAAACACACCATTGTCGGACCACTTTTGGATTCGAAAAATGCACGCCGTTTGTGGCAAGCACATTTGGATGTCCGCTCCGGACTTTTTCGATTTGAGATGTCGAAAATGGCCGTTGTGGCGCGAAGCACATTTCGAAGTCAAAATGTACAAAACACACCATTGTCGGACCACTTTTGGACGTTCAGATGCCGTTTCGCGTGGCAGTTGTGCACCTTGTCAAAAAGGAGCAAAACGGAAAGGTTTTGTAGCATTTTCAACTACAACCACCACTACAACACACCACACTACAACTACAACTACACCTTCACTACATTCCACTATTCTACACTACACTTCACTACACTCCACTACACTACATTCCACTACACTACATTACACTACACTAGACTCCACTACACTACAACTACAGTACGCTACACTACACTACACTCCACTACACTACACTCAATTACACTACACTACACTACATTACACTACACTACAACGACACTACACTACATTCCACTACACTACACTACACTCCACTACACTCCACTACACTACACTCAATTACACTACACTACATTACACTACGCTACACTACATTCCACTACACTCCACTACACTACATTCAATTACACTACACTACACTAGACTGAATGACACTGCACTACACCTACAACTAGATCTGCAACTGCAACTGCAACTACACTACATTACATAACACTACACTAATGACATTACACTACACTACACTACATTACACTACATCACACTAACTACAACTACAACTACATAAGACTACACTACACTACACTACTTAACACTACACTACACTGCACTACACTACACTATACCCCACTCCACTACACTACACCTCACCACACTACACTCCACTACACTACAGTACACTACACTCAATTACACTACACTACACTAAAATACACGACACGACACGACACTACACTACACCACGCGACACTACACTACACTACGCTACACTATACTAACTACAACTACAAATACAACTACAATACCTTACACAACACTACATTACAACTACAACTAGAACTACAACTACACTACACTACACACGACACGACACTACATAACACTACACTACACTGCACTGCACTGCACTACACTACACTACACTGAATGACACTGCACTACACGTACAACCACACTATACTACACTACACTAATTGCATTACACTCCACTACACTACACTACACCACACTACACTCAGTTACACTACACTACACTACATTGCATTACATTATATTCCATTACGTTACACTACACTCATTTCACCACCGCAAATGCAACTGCAACTACACTACACTAATTACACTACACCACAACTACAACTCCACTACACTACAACTACAGCTACAGCTGCACTACACCACACTACATCCAGCAGTTGTGGGTGAGGTGACCGCCCAGGTGACCACTGCAACCATTGCAGCCCTCCAAAAAACACAGCTCCAACCACCTTTTCGGTCCATCAGTGGATTCGCTCTGCCATCCGTGATTCACAACAACCAATCTCTCGTCTAGGTTTTCTATTTTTGAAACTTCCGCCACCGCCTTTTGCGGTACTACTGGTATATCTATACGCATAGTTCAGTTTAAATTGGATTATCAAGCAATTTATAACTGGGGCACCACCAAGGATAAATGGATTTTAGAAATCATTAAAGTGAGGATGCGTCAAATCCCTTGATACCATATTTTGGGGAGATGAACCATCCCCAATTCAGCACCATCAATGGTTGAAACCATCCCAAAGGGGGTTTATGGCATTGGCTTTCCCACAACACATTCCGGCGGTGATTTTTCATCAGATGTCTGGATCATGTTCAATTCACCAACCTGAAATGTCTGGCTAATTTGGGATACCGTGAGGTTGTTGCACTTTATCCACAAGGATACACAATGAAGATGCATTCCGACCAAACAGGGGATTATTATGGATTATTAGTGGCAAGGAGAGGGGGTCAGCACTGAGAAAAAAGGCGAAGATTGGTTTGAAGATAAAACCCGTGGTCAAAAACAATTGGCTGGAAATTCATCCCAGAATCCCACCAAATTCGTATCGGGTGCTTGGAGTCTTGGAGTCCTGTTGAGTGGTTCAGGTTCTCAAACCTGGTTACAAATCGAAGCTTTTCCATCATCCAAAACATGTCTCAGAAAGACTCAAGGGCAGGAATGATTCTTGGTTCGAAGTGCCACAAATTAGCATAGACCCTGCCATTTTTCTGGATTGTAAGATTAGTCTTGACTAAAAGTTGGCTGTTTTCAGAATCAGAGGCTATTATGGCAAATGATGATTGATAACCACCAAAACAACCCATCTAAGCAAGTTCCTTGGGGCTAATAACTAAGCCAATATTATAATTATATGGCTATTGAAAACCCATTGAAATCATTAAGATGAAATGACCAGCATCAAGATCCCTCCAGTTCCGTGAACGGAACTTGTCACTGGGCTTCCCCCGCGCTGGCGCGGCAATCGACTTCCACCTCGCTCCGTTCGCAATTCGGGGAAACTTTGAAGGGTTAACCGTTAAGCATCCAGAATCCTGGGAAATATTGGTGAGATTTAACCCGAAAACCAACTAGGGACAGTTGTTTTTTTCATCTCTTTGCAAGCTGTAAATTGCCAATGTGGACAGATTGGGATTTCTGCAGAAAGGGTGGTGCCAACATCCCTGGATTTTTTTTTACCCCGGGGACCCCCCGGGAAAACTGGTCACTTGTAACATCCTAGAGCACCGACTATCGGGATGATCACCAGAAACAAAAAAAAACATCTCTGGAGCACTGTATGCACAGGAAAGTTAAACCCTCGTGGTCGTTGGTTGCACCCCCCAGGGTGAGTCAAGAAGACCTAGTGATGTGGGGGGGAAAAATGAGATGTCTACTGCAATTATTTGAAAATCATGAGGCGTCACTAAGAGTTGCATAGGTTTCGTGGCAAAGGTACCTTTTTTTATTTCACTTCCCAAGGGCTACAAGAATAGTTCCTCCTTACTGATAGCAACCAGCAACGAGATAGAATATTTGCCAGTCGCAAACATGCGATTGGGAAAATTACCGTCGGCTTCCCACTAAAAAAATCACCCACACGAGAGAATAATAGAAATAAACATTCACATATTAAACTTTTGCAGTCGATTGTGGGGCAGCTGACTTTGATTTGGGGACATCACTGTTGGGTCTGAATTGAACCATGTATTTTTTCATATCCTAATGCTCCCCATAGTTAAAATTCCCTGGGAAGTAAAACTATATGTTATGAATTAGTACAAGATAGTACAAGTGCGACATTTGTTATACAGGAGAGGCCTGCTCACACCCGGACCTGGAATCTGAAAGCGGCACTTGGACCAAAACCATGCAAAGTTAATCAACAGTATCGACATACGAAGGTAAATCAATAGGTGCTCGCCGACGAGGTTCCTAAAAATACCAATAAGAATCAAATTCCTTCACTAAGAAGTCAATTGTCCAATCACGTCCAATCTGTAGCGTCGCCCCAATACAAACATCAATTAAAATGCGCTTGGCGAAGAAGTTCCCTGATAAGCGCATTTTTATAGTTTATATCCAACCAAGGTCAAGCACACTTTGCTGCCCAAAAAAACTCCCTATCAGGACCAAAATACCTATATATATAAATACTTTACATATAGTTTCACATTCATTTTGTAGCAACCTAAATTAAAGCCTCAAACACATGGCCTCTTTCATTATTTCACCATGTTACCAGCTAGGGTCAATAATCACATTAGCCAGGACTCAATTTAAAATATGTGATGGAAAACTTGACAATGGCAAAAACCATTACCAAAAGATATACAGTTTCTATTTATTAACCAAAGGATTTTGAATGAAACCGATGCATAATTATAACCACGTATAGTTATATAGATAAATCGCTACAATAAGCCCCAAAAAAACATACAGCGACTTGCTTTATGTTCCACATATATAATGAAATCTCTGTGATTTATCTTGAACATAGCTATGCACGTTCTGTTCTGCAAACGTGCTCATGTACACAGCATGCACTGTTCACATTCCAAATGCCCACGCGAGCAAGAAGCGTTAATCCATTTTCATGGTTAGGTAGACCGATTTTAAAACCCCAAGGTCCTCAAAGTCAGGATCCTAGATCATTTGCCATTGCGGCTAGTACAGGTTAAATTTCACATTGGGAAATGTACATGCAGCAAGGAATCATGGGTAGTCATGCATCACCAGATTTATGGATTTCCGCAGTAAAAAATCGCAGATCAGCAGAACTCAGGCGCACATTTTGTGATATTCCGCCGAAAAAAATATGTTCAGCAGAAATCCTAGGGAAAAGCATTGAATCAGCAGAAGTCCGCTACACAAAACCAGAAGATGAGTTCCGCCGAACCATAGGTCTGAATACTAAGCTCCGCCGAGAATTTTTTTCAGCAGAAGTCAGGTACACAATTTGCGTAGTGGAGTTCCGCTGAAAAACAAAAAACTAAAGTCCGCAATTTTTTTTGCAACCGATTCGGGGTCACAGGATCTCAATTTTCCGCCGAAAAAAAAATCAGCAGATCTCATGCCCCATAATCGGCCGCACCGGAAAAAAGGTCCACAAAGTCCGCAGAGATTTGTTTGGCAAACTAATCTGAGACTTCAATGCAAAGTTCTGAGCCCTGGACCCTACCATACTTATTGGCCATGGGTGGCACATGTGATCGGGAGGAATTTGCCTGGGTAACCCTTGGAAAATCGTGTAGACTTGGTGATAGGCAATATAACCACCCATTACCATGGTGTGGCCGCATGCTTTTTAAAAGCTCCATAGACAGAGGGTTTCATTTAAGTATTCCCTTCGCCCGCCCCCTAATAAATGCTCAAGTCCACCCAAATACGCAAAAACGTTAAAGCATGCTAAAACTACGTTAAAAAAATAATTGTAATTATAATAGTGCAAGTGCGACATGTAATATACAGGAGATGTCCGCGCACACCCGGACCTGGAATCTGAAAGCAGCACTTGGACCAAAACCATGCAAAGTTAATCAACAGTATCGACATACGAAGGTAAATCAATAGGTGCTCGCCGACGAGGTTCCTAAAAATACCAATAAGAATCAAATTCCTTCACTGAGAAGTCAATTGTCCAATCACGTCCAGTCTGTAGCGTCGCCCCAATACAAACATCAATGAAAATGCGCTATGCGAAGAAGTTCCTTGATAAGCGCCTTTATTTGAAATTATATTCAACCAAGGTCAAGCACACTTTGCTGCCTGAAAAGACACCCTAATCAGGACCAAAGTATCTGATACTGAAACGATTACATATATGATTCACATTCATTTTGTATCAACCGAATCCAAGCCTCAACACATGGCATCTTGTACTGTTAAGGTCCAAGACCACCATTTCAACCCAGTTCGCCATTTAAGGTCAATAGTAAAATTGTAGTAAATTTTATATTGAAATAATAAGGGCAAAACCCTTGAAATTTGTGAAAACAATTGCTAGCAAATAGTTTCTATTAATTTCAGGAAACTTACCAAGAGCATGAAGGGGTGGAAGGGAAATACCCATTAAATCAAACTTAAATTTGGATGATCCTGAGACCCCAATTCGATTGCAAAGTTTATATATTTATACAACATCCCCGCATGCCTGTGCCGAAAATGTTGACACAACTTGACATAACTGATGATGTTTTCTCAGCAACAGGTGCTACTGGGTTTATCAACCCGCGGATTCATCCCCAGCCCAAGTGGGGGACACAGTTCTATAGAAATTCACCGTGTTTATATCATAAATCATCGAACTATATAACTTCGGGCCATGGCTTCGCAAAGTAATAGTCATTACCAGAAGGTATATCTGATATGATCTTCCCACTATATCCCATAAATCGCTTCTACCCCACTTAAATCCCCATTCAATAGCCATTAAACCCCAACCACCATGAGAAATCCAGCAAAAATCACCATGAAATCCCATGAAATGTCCGTGAAAAAACACCCATGTAGCGTGAACTTCCCAGTTCCCAGCCTCGCACCGCGAGGCTTTGGGGTGAACTGACTGCGGCCTGAGAATCGCTCGTGCCAAGTACGGGGAGGGACCCCCCAAGTGTGTTTGTTGGCAAAAAATATATACACCACATCTAACCATACATATGTATATATACATATATATATATATATATACATATATATATATATATATACATATATATATATATATAGATAGATAGATATATTGTATATGTATATGTTATATATGTATGGTTTATATGTTTAAAGACAACATGGTCACGTCACAACAGTACGGAATATACATGGCCTCCGTGCGTTTCCGCACCACCATGGTCGTGGAACTCCAGCACGATCCAGCAGACGGGCCCTTAGGGAACCAGCTCCTGGTGGGGCACCGGGCCCGTTTTGAGGTGTCATAGATTTCTGGTGGATGGATAGGTAAATTTATAAGTAAACCTAAGATAAGTTAATACTAATAATAAATCAAATATAGGTAAGTAAACCTGGCTGATAACCTCACTGTGATATGATGATACGGCTAACTATGATATGGCTATGGTGGAATGATACTAAATCTAAAGCTAATGATTACATCATTTGTGATAAACATGTGGAATTATTGCGCTTATATATATAGTTCGATGGGGCGGCAAGATAAAGAAACAAACACAGCCTTCCTGTAGGAAATTCGACTTAATAATCAACTGTGATGATGTGACTGGCAGTGTGACAGTTTCCCATAAATGGGGGTACCTCAATAGCTGGATGGTTTATTTCACGGAAAATCCATAACTGGAAGATAACTGGGGGTACCATGACTTAGGAACCCCCCCATATGGAGTTTTTTTCTGGGGGGTTCCCAAGTCACCAGAGGTTTCAGTACTATGAACAGAAAAATTGGGGTTCCGCCCAGTTCTCCTTGCCACTTCACATGGTACGGAAAGCTCTCCAGCGTTTTGACACTTCCTCGCACGGCAAGCTGCGAAGGCAAAAGAATCAGGTCGCGCATCCCGGCCAGGCAAAAGGAGTCCAAGAAATGTAGCAGGTAGGGCAAATGCACCTGCAGCTCATGGCATTTCATGGCATTTCATGGGCTCCAGGTGATTTTTTATGGGAATTGAAGCATCAATATCATGGTGATGTTTCAGCAAACATCTTCGGATGGTAAGAAAAATATGAAGATTTCAGATTTCAGCAACAACAAGGATGTACAAGGTGGTGCCCATTGGTGCCTAGTGATATAAGTTGGCTTAGTATGTTTAGTTCTAGCGATTGGATGTTCCATAACTGTGGTGCACCACCTTACGGGATACAGCCCAGTTGAGCAACAATTCACCATGAATCAACGGTGCTTCACAAAAAATGGGGACAGAATAGCATACAGACATGTTGATTGATAATGAATAGTAGTTGCATCTCTCTGGTAAACTAATATAGCCAAGGAAAAAAAACAACATGTTTAATAGGTCGATGATCTATAAATTGAATTGCCATTTTCCACTGCTATGTTAGATGAACAGAGGGTACTTTAGTTGTAACGGTTTAATCGGGATTCTAGTCCATTACAGGGTTTTTTCACCATCGCGCTGCAAAGACATCAAGCATCACGCAGATATCCTCAGATTCTCACTTTTTTCCCACTAGGTGGCAACATGCCAGGCAGGTAGCCTGCGACAAAAGGGTACACGGGAGTTCCGCGAGAGGACGTAAAAGCTTTACGGCTACGGAGTACTGTAGCATACCATACTCAAAATTTTCGGAAGTCCTCCAAAATCAAAATTAAGCAAAAAAATCCTCATAATCAACATGATGAAATGCAACAGTACCGTGCTGAAAAAACATTTAAAGTAGGCTATTTGGATGCTCCCTCATCCTCAAGCGCGTTCATCCGGGGAAATCTCCCACGGATCCAAAACAAAGCTACAGCCACGGCCCTCTGCCGAAGCCAATGCTGGGTAAACAGCGGGTGCTCCGCACGGATCTTTGGAGAATGTTTCCAACGTGCATCCCTGACTCAGGATCCATGGGTAACTGCGATGACCCCGATAATCCATGCATCCAAACAGGGATCGTTTTTAGATCTGCATGCTTCAAATGTGGTGCAGCATCATTCAATATAGCTGTGTATATCTGTATAGCTGGATGCTCCGCCCTGGTCATATCCTCATATTTCATGAGGGATGATATTCCTGTTGTTGGCAAACACCGAAATTGCCTTTCACCAATCAGAAAAAATCCACCTGCAATTTTTTGGGCAATAGCATCCCCTTTTCTTGAAATTTTGCAACTGTTCAGCAACCGTCTATGCTCTACATACGCACAGTCGCCAGCTGCGGCCAATTTTCACGGTCATGGATCGAAGTGTTAGGACCCCAAAACCACGAAGAAAGTTCACCAAAATCACAAGAATCCTGGTGATTACGTATTCAAAATCCAGAAAATCAGCCGAATTTGAAGCAGATTGCATCATATTGAAGCATCCTAAGTGTCATGTTCATATTCAAGCTGCCTTGCGAGCCAAGGCAAATCTTGGGGTCCTTGACCCATTTTGACCCATGAAGAAACCAGATACGCCCCGGGCCATGGCCACATAACTCCATCTTAACTTTTCCTGGTCACGTGAGCCAATCCAAATTGTTCAAATTCAAATTGGAGAGTGCGAAACCTTAAAACCCATTAAAATCCATTAAAATCTATTAAAATTCATTAAAATCCATTAAAATCCAGTAACTATGATGTTTTCCCCATGTATTGCCCAGGTGTCGAAATCATTTTCAGCATCCCTCTGGATCTCCCATCGCTATGATCACGGCCCGGAGCTAGCACGGCGCAGTCTGCACGGCATCAATCCAAGTTGGCTAGTTACGGCTAGTTGAATAAGGAGGTAAAACCACAAAAATGCATAGAATAAGTGGATATACATGGAACCATCATTTAACTCCTAGAAAATGTGGATTAATAAATCAAAATCAATCTAGATAATCCAACTTGTGATGGGAAAATAAGGGCTACAAGTATCCGGCAAGAGACCCCAAACAGTATGTAGTTAGGATTCTCAAGGGAAAGGTGGAAAGGACCCAAAATCATCAGTGGCTGCAAGCTAGTAGGACAAAAGCGGCCCTAGTAGTGAAAGCATGGCGTTCAGTCAAGGCGTCTCTGGAAGAAGAGATGCCAGGTTAGATTCTGCAAGTTCCCTTTGTGAAGATCTCTGTAGACGATCGTGCGCAAGGTCTTCTTGACAGGTTCTCTGAAGAAGCTGCTGTGCAAGATCCCTGTGTAAGGCTATCTGTACAAGGTGTCCAAAAGACATCTCCACAGAAGATCTCTCCAAAAGATCTCAAAGTCAGATCTCTGTTCGAGCTCTCTATAAAAGATTTCTGAGCAAGAACTCTGCTCTCTTCACCAGGTCTCTGTACAAGATCTCTATAGGGGTCTTCTGGCAAGATCTCTGTACAAGACCTCTATAAGAGCTCTGTTGGCAAGATCTCTGTACGAGACCTCTTGGCAAGATGTCTGTGCAGATCTCTATGAGGTCTCTTAGCAAGATCTCTGTGCAAGCTCAATATAAGAGATCTCTTGGCAAGATCTCTTTATGAGACCTCTGTACAAGCTCTCTATAGGAGCTCTCTTGTCAAGATTTATGTAAGAGACCTTTTGGCAAGATCTCTGCACTGCAACAGATCTCTATGCAATGTCTCTGCACAAGATCTCCATAAGAGGTGTCCTGGCAAGATCTCTGTACAAGATCTTTATAAGAGGGCTCTTGGCAAGACTCTTGAAGAGATCTCTGTACAAGCTCTCTATAAGAACTCTTTTGGCAAGATCTTTGTAAGAGACCTCTTGGCAAGATCTCTGTACAAGATCTCTAAAAAAGCTCTCTGTGCAAGATCTCTGCGCAAGCTCTCTATAAGAGACCTCCTTGTCAAGATCTCTGCACAAGATCTCTATAAGAGCTCTCTGTGCAAGATCTCTGCGCAAGCTCTCTATAAGAGACCTCCTTGTCAAGATCTCTGCACAAGATCTCCTTGACCAACAAAATGAGCACAGCGCCACAAGGAGAGCGATCTCACACGCCCAAAGTGCCGAGGGTTGCGCCAGCCATCTCAAAATGAGCACCGCGCCGCAGCGAGAGCGATCTGACAGGCCCTGAGTGCCAAGACGGTTGCGCGAGCGATCTCAAAATGAGCACCGCAGCACAACGAGAGCCATCCAACACGCACAAAGTGACCAACGGTTGCGCGAGCGATCTGAAAATGCGCACCGCGCCACAACGAGAGCGATCCAACACGCACCATAACAGGAGGGTTGTGAGGGTTGCGCGAGCATATGTTCGATTTTCACAAAGCACTGCGCCCACCACTAAAAAGGAACATTGAAAAAGTAAGGAAAAGTCAAAAACAACGATGTACGTAGGTCTCAGCAACTTTTTTGTCGAGGTCTTATACAAAGGACTGCACCTGCCACGAAAAATGAGCCCGAGTCATCCGAAGTCCTGCGCCTGCCACGCAGAATTATCATCATGTTCCAAATCAAATTCGACAACAGTTTCACGAAACGATATTTTCGACCCTTTCAAACGTTGTCCAAGTTCATCATATATTACGCCTGCCACGAAAAATGACCTCCAAAAGCACCTCTAATTTTGACCCACGCCCATAGGTCTCCGCGACACCCGTTTGTGCGAGCCTGCGCGGTCGAAATGCGCATGGACATCTCACAAGGGAACTTCTGTGCTGCAAGGTGCGCCAAATTTACCGAACGCCCCTGGATGTACCGGAGCCACTTAGTAGCTGGATGCCATGAACTCCTGAGATGCAGCAGTTTCACCAGCAGGGAGGGTTTACCATGGTAAAGCCACTAACCCATCCCCAATTGGGGCGTTGTTACTGCGAAGCTCCATGGGATGATTCCGGATGGTGTTGCATGGGTGGATGATGGAAAATGATGGAAAAGGCCTGACAACAACTACAGTCGGAAATAAATTTCAAAGAATCGATATACAAGTAGTACCTGGACAAGCCGGGGACGGAAGTTTCACAAATGAAAGGCCTATAGCGCAGAAAACAGAAGGTGCCTATAGGATGTGGATCCCACCCGTGTGCGTTGCAGAAACCATCTCTTGACATCTCAATCCTTTGACATCTCACCTCATCGCATATCATGTCTTCTCGCCTCTCTTGATCTCTCTGGCCCTCTTCTCAACTTTTCTGAGCTCATCTCATCTCATGTCTTCTCTCCTCTTCTCATCTCTTCTCAGCCCTTCTCAGCTGTCCTGGCTCAGCTGATCTCAACTGCTCGTGTTCTCAGCTTTCTTCTCTGTTCTCAGCTCATCTGAGCTGTTCCTTTAAGCAATATCCGAATCCTTGTTTGGATGTTTTTCAATGTTCTACGTTCCCGACCCAGCCGATTTTAACAAGATCACATTTTTCCTGGAATCGCAGGAAATATCATCTGAAGATTGAGTGGACGATATTCAGAAGGCTGTGAAATGTGCTGGAAAATGTATATCTCAACTCCTCAATTTCGACTTGAATGGATCGAAAAGTTCGGAATATTGAAATCTATCTGCTCGTTCCACCTCCATCGTATTCGTCGTGATGCCGGCTGCAAGTCGTGCGCGAAAACTCGGAAACTCACCTCTCCCAGAGTATTGAAATGTTCCAGCGATTTCTGTAGCTTGAAATGCATCCCGGCACCAAAACAACAAGACTGATCCTTCAGCCCATCCCAAAGATTGCACTAGAAATCATCCCAGACATCCAGACAATCAAATTTGCTTGCGACCAGTACACCAGATCTGACGAATTGAATTAAATGGGCCAATGTCCAACCATGTCCAACCAAAAGCAGCTCTGGTTTTCCCAATCCAATCCAAATATATCCAAACAACTTTTGCTGTAAAGGATCATCAACAGCATTGCAATCATAACATATTTAAAATTCTTTAAAGCAATCTATCTAGAGAATTTCTAGAGATACCCTCCGGTGCCATCAAACGTGGCGTGCTGGAAAATCGACCATTTATAGAGATGTTCCCTTAGAAACATTCATAGGGGATTT